ACACACACACACGCTGGGAAGCCATCGATTCTTCACGACTCTTCCTGCCTCTGCTGTGTGAAAGATCTCATTGGTGGTTGGGGCTTCTGAGAAGATTTGGTGGACAACACCCTCTCACAGTGGACAGTTACTGCTCTCTCCTTGTCAATGAACATTTGGGGAACGCGTGTTTTCAGAAGGTGATAGAGTGGTCTACCAAGACCCCAATCCAGTGGGTAGCCCCCCAGGTCACCTCTGCATCGGGAAACTTCGAGAGGAGGCTAAAGGAGGGCAGACTCAAAGAGAAATCATCATGGGGGCACTCCAGTCCCTCTGGAGAACATAAGGAAAGTTGCACTCCTGAGATTGAGACGCAAGTGACAGCGCCGAGGGTGGACTTCAGGACCTGGTCCAGCGACCTGGCCCTCCTGACCACGCTTAGCAGCAGAGGGATGATGGAGAGAACCCTTGCAGTCCGAAGCCCAGCCACGTGAAGGTGGTTTCTGGTGAAGTGAGTGATAGAACCCAGGGATAAGATTCTTGATCGGATGCTGGGCCCAGTTGTGTGCGTAGAAAACAGGTTTGCACAAATTCAGGGGAAAGAGAGATGCGTGGATGGACTGAAGTCTAGGGAGGCAGGGTTTTCTCATGATGGACGAGCTATTCTTCAACAGCTTAAAATGGAGCAGGAATCACCAGGAGTCCGTAAGCGTTTTCCACACAGATAATCTTCCGACTACATTTTTATTTATTCTAAAAAGCGGTGGTATAACCAAGATTATAGTAGACAGAAGACATTTGACAGAATTTCTCACACTATCCACATGGACGAGATGGGTCAATAATGGCTGAGTCATGGCGATCAGGTGACCTCGTGAGTGAATGGACGAGATGCTCAGGAAGATGTTCAGCACATTGATGTTGACTCGGGGAGGCCTCTCTGGAGGTTCCCAGGACTTTATCAAAGGACGCACAGGAAGACCTGGGAAGCACGTGTGACAGGTAACTGACTGCCTGGCTGATGGAGAGCTTGGAGGGCCGTCTACAAGCTGGATGATGAGTGGAATCCAATATAGATCTCACCAAGTTGGGGCCGGGGGCTACGTTTGACACATGGAATTTATTAGAGGCCAACATAAAGCCCTGTGTTCTAGGTTCAAAACATGTACTATATTAGATGAAATGAAAGATACGTGGATAAAAGAAGATACAAAGCCTTTGAAGTGGTAGTTGGATAATCCAATAATGTGATCTGACCTGGAAGCACCCTGGGTGAGGGAGGTACCACAGCAAAGCTAGAGGAGCCAGTCCTGGGGT